GATCTCGAGGAAAACAATACACCCTTCCTTGTCCTCTTTCCTGCTCTGCCCGGGGTTCCTCTTTTTGGTGTGCCCTTCTCCGGTGCCTTGGGCTTCTTTTCTCGGGCCCCGGCCCGGCCCTGCTTCCCACCCTCTCTCTCTCACACACACACATATGTCTCTCATCTACAGTTGTGTATTTCATGAACACCAGCAGCATGCGCGCACAAGGCACCCCCCACTCCGGTCTAGCATGTTCGAGAGGGGGTGCCGTCGGTCGGATGGTCACACCAGGATTTAGGCCCGGCCCCGGCGCTTGTCATCCACCTTGCGCACAATGCCGCCCACCGACTGGTAGCCAATGCGCACCGGCAGCGGGAAGTACGAACCCGGGTGCCACTCGGCCGGGGCGCTCGAAGTCTTGATCATGTTGATGACACGCTCGCGCACCGCGTCATTCAGCATCTCCCGCGGGCTGATGATGACGGCCAGCGGGTCCGGGCGCTGGAGCAGGCGGTAGAGCTTGCTGTCGAGCGACAGCAGCGGCAGGGTCCCAGGCTGGATGGGGCCCTCGTGCAAATAGTAGAAGGAGTACGGGTCGGACTCCTGGACCTCGACCATGCGGGCCGGCTCGGCCGGGATCGGCGGCATGCCGGGCACCCACTCCGGCGGGCTGAACAGATGCTGCAGGGACAGGGGCACCAGCGCGCGGGAGGTCTTCTGCGCGGGCTTCTTCACAATCTGGAAGGTGACCAGGTTGTTGTCGATGCGGACGCCGCGCTCCTCGCGGGCGATGTCCATGAACTCCTCGGCCAGGAAGTTGGCGAAGGCATACAGGTCACGAGGCATGACGCCACGGCTGCGCCGGGGGTGCGGAGGGGTGGGGGAGGGGGAGCGGCAAGAGGGTCAGCCTGGGAGGGAGGAACAGGGGTGGGGAGGGGGGGGGGGGGAAGGGGGCCCAAAGCGGACGGCCAATGGGGGGGGGAAGGGGGGGAGGGCAGGAAACACCGGGAAAAGGGGAAAAACAAGGTGGTTTGGGTGGAGGGGGGCCCAAACCGGGACACCCGGGGGAAGAAAAGGCCGGGGGGGGGCGGGGACCCCGCCAATGTGAAATGGGGAGGAGAGGCCCAGGAAAACCTGGGGGGGGTGTTGGGCCCGGCGCGCATGCCGGCAGAGCA